GCCACGTTAGACAACAAAGTAGGCAACCGAAATCATTGTATAGTTTGAGCAAACAGCAAGTAAAACAAGTGTGATTTTTTGGAAAGGATTTCTCCTGCAATATTATAAAGACGAAAAAGGATTACAAAGGTTCAAAACACAAACTCCATGAAAGCAAAAACATAGCAAACAAATTTGGTAACTATAAGGGTGGGAAATAGATCACCTTGACTGATCATGACATGCATAAGATCTACACACATGTCTTGTTCAACTGTGTGGAAGTTCAACCCCTCCAGTCAACCTTTGATGAATGGATTTGACAAATAAAATCGAATATTGATGATGTTGCACTTGATATACTCCAGGGGAAAAGGTTTGTTGGCAGTTTCGAGGACCAGGCGAGTATATACTAGCCAATTTCAATTTATGTAAAGCAATGATATACGTCATGCGTCTCTTACGTCTGGCCTTATTTGATAGGTCATGTTTTAGTTAAACGACTCAAGTGAACAATCAAAATCCCTAGCACGTGGACCAGACTGTTATGCATCCACGCATCAGGGATACTTCATGAATGGTTACAAGTCTATATTGTAACCCATGGTGTTGGTAGGGTTACCCAAAATAGTGGTGTACATGTCAAGGGGCCTATTACGATTAGTGTGTGTTTGACTATTATGGAATGTTGGATGACGTTTTAGAGGTGGAATATTATGGCGTATGGTGACATATAATTTTGTTGTCCAAATGCACTTGGTTTGATACTCCCTCAAGGGTTAGAGTTGACCTTAAATACAGTTTGGTAGATATCAAATATAAGTCTAGACTAAGATCCAACGACCCATTCGTCCTAGAATCACAGGCAGAACAAGTCTACAATATTTCATGTCCTTCGATGACAAAGGATTTGAAAGATTGGTGGGCGATTGTCAAGATGAATCCTTGTGGCATATATGAAGTAGCAGATTGTGTTAACGATGTCAAATATATGATAATGTGGATGGAGAACAATTACTTCAAATCAACAAAATGGTAACTCATACAACATCCACAAGATTAAATGAGGACCTCAATTGTGTTCGTCTTGTCACATAGGAGGTAAATATAGTTGATCTTATTAATGACGATAGCGACGATGAACCTATTAATGAAGATAGCAACGATTGGCCGATTAATGAATATATCAACGACGGAGCAGAATTTGAAGACATAGATGATGATTCAGATAATGAAGATGCACTAATGTTATCTAATCATTCTTCTTATGAGTAACTTGTATTCTGTATGTTTATTTCATAATTGTATTATTACGATTTATCATTATTTTTTTGGATAAAATATAATGTTCATTTTTTTGCAGTGACATGTCATCAGCGAGGTAGTAGTAGAGTTCGGAGTAGAGGTAGGCCTAACGTCGGTAGGGGCAACAACTCCTTTGATGAGAGTGGCGACCCGTGTGCTGATGACTATGAGAAGTTTTTGGATGATTCCATCGTGAACATTGGCCTTGAGGAACATGATTAGAAGCATCATATGGTGGTCCCATATTCGAGTGGTTCGGGATCGAGGAGGGGCCCTAACTATTCGATGTTGATGTTATGCCATCTGAGTTAGCGACCACAGCTAGAGCGGGGAGGTGTCAGGTAAGTAGATGTGGTATATGGGTTAATATTACATAATCAAATGATATGAATGACTTTTGTGTTGTATATTTTCTTGATTGTGCAATTTTCCATATCCCAAGTTATGCAGGAGATCATTCCATATTCATGGCTTCGTTTTGTGGTATTTAGGCTCGCTGGAAGGAAGTCCCTCAGGCTGATTGTGAGTACATGTTCCAATGCTTTTGGGTTGGTACATGATCACTTTTAAAGTAATTATACATACCAAATTTTTGTTTTTTTATCTTGATACAAATCTTGTGTATATAGGGTAAGTTTTAGTAGAACCTGACACAAGAAGGGTAGGTTTATGAAGCATGAGCATGTATCATGTACAATAGGTATGTGGATTGTATGAAGGATATGCAAGTGAATGGGCTGCAACATAGGCCCGATAGGTGGATAGGGATGACGTGGCATGGTGAGGACTTCACTCCCATTATAGAGCACCACCTTCCCTAGATCCAAGAGTTTTATTGGCTCAGGATGATTGATCAGGTTTTTATTTTCATTGTGATCTTTGTGTGTTGTTTTTATACCGACTAATGTGTTATGTTTTTAACTGGTGTGGGCTACCGATTGTTGGAGATCCCATTCTAGGGCCGGTAAGGCCAATAGGGCGATCTCATTTGAGGGAGTCTCATCCAAGCACATTGGGGGATCGATCAATGTTGCACAACATCGACATAAAATGGTAAGTCTAGAGTTTTTTTTGAATATGTTATTAGATTTGTATGTTTATTAATAACTTAACTTAATTTTCTATTGTAGAGAGAGACATGGGGTCACGAGCCGAGTTCTTCTGAGGTGTTTGAGGGGATCTACTGCTTGAATAGGAAGGTCACTAAGGGATCGACCGGCCCGCCTACTGTTCCTCCTATGTTCGTTTACCCCAAAGCGGCTAGAGTAGCTGTAAGTTTTCTAAACCATTACTTTGTTTTATAGAACCGTTTAGTGGGTTTAACGTAATATATTTTAATAAACATAGTGATGTTATTAATTTTAGCTACCATTGTTGGGCGTATGTTAGGCTAAGTAGATAGATTGGTTGGTAATGTGACTATCATTGGTAGTTAGAATATTATAATTGTGGATATGTTTGATTTACAGTCGTTATGTTGCTAAAATATCTACAAATATAAGCTCACCTGTTTTTGTTTTGGTAAACCATAGGAGCGGTTTTGAGATCTTAAGGATGAGGCTCAGTCTAGTGCAGAGCCCCACACTATACCTCCTGATGATGCGACTCTTTTTTAGCAGAGCGTCGAAGAATGGAGGAAGGGTCGTCTTGAAGTTCGTGACCTCCAAAGATCCTATTATGCTATGACAAAGATTTTAGCAACAGTAGCAGCACTTGGAGATCCTTCTTTACTGAATCGACAACGGATGTATGTTAGTTATATTTATGTATCATTTCATTACTTTTCATTGCCAAAAGATTACTGTTTTTTGTCAAATATTGAATATTTACAGGTACCAGAGTTGAAAGAGAAAATGACAAGAATAGAAGAGGAAGCAAAGCGGTGGGAGGATAGCTATTTGGTTGAGCTGGAGGCCAAACGAAGGAGGAGGGAGATCCGGGGGCCTGACAGGTCGAGTATGTTGTCTAGTTAGCTCAGCAGGTCTTGTTATCATGTCATTTTACTGCTTTTATGCAGCAACACGGACACGCTTTCCCCCTCCCCCTCCCCCTCCCCCTAGTTAGATTGTTACGTACCCATCGGACATGTATTGTCAATCCTACAGCAACAGCGATACTTCAAAAATACAAAACTCACACCAAAGAACCTTCAGCAAAAGTCGACGACTGAAACTGAAGATTAGAGACTAGCACGTTCGTGATCTGAAGCGGCATTCAGTGATTACAACCTGGTCAACATATGTGTGAAGACTGCCCAAGCCTCAGTGAATGCTGAAGAGACCTTCAGTGTTATTCCAGCATTCAACGATCAAAAGAAGCTTGTTGTGCAAGATTGCTTTTGTTTTGTTCTTCCACACACAAAGGACAACCCCATACCCTTTCTGGAGTATAGTATGGTACGGAGTCGATTAGTTGACTTTATTACCCACCAACTCCTTGAAATGATGTCTGCTCATGAATAGGCTTTTGTATTATTCACTGTAGCAAATGACAAGCTTTTCTCTAAAAGCTTGACGCGTGTTCAAACCCTATTGCATTGCATTAAATGTGCGTTTAATGCAATGGGTATAAATAGATGAGTATTCTCTCCATGCAGACCACTACGTGCATGTACACAAGAGATCACACACACATCTAATAATATTTACGCTTATCTTCAAGCAAGTTAGAATCTCTTTCAAGTATTGTAAAAGTTCTGACCCAGAAAGAACTTATTTCCTTTTTTATCTTACAACAAATCTTTTCTCTTTGCTAAAAATTTATGTGTGTAAACTTAGATTGTTTTAGACAGGTTTTTCTTACCTTATCTATTTTCGCATACAATCTTGTAAATATCTGTATTGATCTTTCTTTATCAATATACATTTTTAAATTTGAAAATTTCATGTGTTTGTATTCATCCCCCCATTATACAAACTGTTTCTATAAAACTCTTGTAACCCTAACGGGACCAACAATTTTGGTTTGGTATTTTGAATTTACGGGCCGATTGTATTAAAACATACATGAAATTCAATATTTTAATTTACTTTTTTAACAAATTATTAAAAATCAGTGACATGAATCCTTCCCTAAAAGTTAGTGGGGCCGTCGCTAATCCGCCGTTAGAAAGCCCTCGCTAATCCGTCGTTAATCTGTCACAAAATATACGTTGCTATCCCTTCGCTGCACCCACCACTATTTGGTCGATAAACTATTAGTGATGACCTGCTGTTAGGGTCTGATTTTGTAATGAGATCCATTTTTTTAACTTTGATCGAGCTTGAGAGTTAAGAGCCGGTGCTTTTTAATTTAAGAATTGAGAGTTGATTTTGGTCACTTATTTAGCACTCTTTGTCTCAATTCAAAACAAAGTCAAAGCGTAAAAAGAAAAGAAACCCCTATTAAAAATCCAACAATATTGAATAATTTACCTAGCTAACATATAATAATTATATTTTATTTAATAAAAATACATTATATAATCATAAAAATATATAATAATTAATAAAAAATAATAATTTCTTGTATAGTGCCATTTGAACCTTGGTTTTGGCATATAATTGAAAACCCCAAACCAAACTGTATAGTTTGTGGCATAAGAAATACAAACCATAAACCGTAATGTAAAGGTTCCAGTACGGTTTGGTACGATGCGGACGTTTGGACGGGAAAATGAACACCCCTAGTCATACTTGTTATAGTGGCAACATGTGCAAATACAACTTCATTTATATGCTATATATGAATTTTACAATATTATGGGGATGAAACTTTTCTAATCCTCCGTTAATAGTAACACATCCTAAACACAAAAAGACTTGCTAGTTTTGAGTTATTCGGAGTAAGTTTTAACCGGTTTAACTGATAGTGTTCAACATTGAACGATATCAGTATTAGGAAGGGAATCAGGGTTACCCTCCAACAAGCAGAAAACTGGTGGTATAGTAAGAGTTTGGAGAACTCCATATGCATTCCAACAAAATGGACTCGCCATATTCAGCCCTTGAGAAGGCATCAATTCCACCTCAGAAAATGTTAGGTTTGTGCATGGAATAGTATCACTGCAACCCAAATGCATGGCTGGGCTTCTAACATCATAAGTTCCCCAAATTCGCTCGTAAATTATGTCGGAAATACGAACCGCTGAGGTCTGGTTTGGGCACATCCCTTTAGACTGGCAATAGTACTGGTCTATCATGACCGGGTTTCTAACGGTGTCCATGTGAATGTTGATGAACCGCACATTCGACACCGAGCCAAACCCTCCTTGCCATGTCTTGATTCGGACCCCATTGTCGGAATGCTTGATCACAGAGTCCATGACCGTTATGTTCGATACACAGGCTCGTGTGTTACGCATCCCGAGGCTGCCAATACTGAAACAAATGAGGCAACCAAAAACGTCATTTGCTCAGTGGTATATAGGTTAACAATAGAGCCCAATAAGGTCAAGGCTTTGCCGTAAGTATTATATACTTCAATCCTTACAAAATGGAAAAATCACAATTATGATTGCCATCCTTGAAACAACTGGGCACTACAACAAAATTGAGTTTACAGAACACTTCCAATCTCTAAGCGTCCCAATAGGCCGTTTTATAGGATTTAATTTATAGAACTAAAATATAAAGCGTCATATCTAAAGAAGTTGTAATAAGTTTATATGACGCTTTTGGGCGTCTTAACAAGTTTTTTAGGACATTTTTAATTAATACAAAGTGTCGTATTAGCAATTTTATAGGACACTTTTTAGGAAAGTGTCCTATAAACTCAATTTTTTATAGGAAATTTGTTTTTATAGGACAGTTTTTCAAATAGTGTCCTATAAAGTTGATAATATGACGCTTTATATTAAAAAAAATGTTCTAAAAAACTTATTACGGCGTCAAAAAAACGTCATATGAACTTATTACAACACGTTTAGATATGACACTTTATTTTTTTGGTCCTATAAAGAGGTCTATTAGGACAATTAGAATTTGCGAGTGTCCTATAAACCCGATTTTGTTGTAGTGTGGTGTCGGTAGAGTGTATGGGCATTATGGTTAACTTCATGTTGCAGTTTTTAGGGTAAGGAATTTATCCCAAGCTAGTATAGTAATTTTGTTGTGCTACTCATTTTTTTTTCCCAACAAGATACCATCCAAATTAAACAGTAATCATTTATTTCTCAGTTCATTGCATACATTCTTGAAAATTTACTGAACGTGTAGTTTGCTTGTAATAGTGGCCATTGAGATACCGATAAAGAAAACAAGTTGATTCTTAAAAAAAACCCAATTAGTATCATATTTATAAGTACAAATTGCATCACATACGACAAAAATGGTGTTTATGGACGGACGAACATGCGTCTTAGTATGTCACTTTTAAAAAGTGTTGTATTATAAGATTTACTTTTTTGGGTTATATTATGTTGCTCAACTTGGTAGACAGGAATTAACTTAATTCATCCTGACAACTTATTGGTACGTAGTTAGATAGGATAGAACGCCAATTGTTGGTCATATAAATTTATAGTTTCTTTAAGCAGGTACTATCTTCGGACGCCTGAAAACCAATTTTCTATCGTGTATCATAATAGAATGTACTTTGTTATGATTCCAATTTTCAAAATTAAGCTTAGCGTTTATATATGAGAAAACATCTAAACAAGAAAGTTCACTAATTTATTTCAAAATGGCTTTTTGTTTTTCTTTCTTAAAATTATAATATCATAATATGTTTTCTTAATTGTATCTGTATCTGTATCAAATACATGTAGCATTTTCCAAAATAAAAAGGTAATAAACCATGTTCCATCCTAAAGCAATTAATTTGTTGTACTTATATATAGTGTCATGAGTTAACAATAATATGATTTTTTAACGATATTTTGCACCAATCATACATGTAAGTCGTTGAATATGGTTTACGGGTTTGGCACAAAAGTGGGGACTTTTAGGAATGTTTACCTTATCCCATGGCTTGGACCACATGTAATGTTCTTTATGTCTACATTATAAGATCCTGCTCCAATCGATACACAGTCATCACCTATATATAAAATTAAGACAAAACATTAATTGGATCATTATTTAGCTTGCTTTTGTATCTGATTTCGTCTTACAATACTCATGTCAGTTAAATGTTTTTACCGTTAGATACAAGTGTATTGTATATCCTCACGTCATCTGTGTTCTCGATATGGATTCCATCGGTGTTGGGGCTAAGAGAAGGAGCTTTAATATTCACCGAATCTATATATACGCCATGGCACCCGTCGAACCGGAAGTTGAATTGCGGACTATTTTTCACTTTAACTCCTTTTACTGTTACGTTTGTGCTCATGAAAAACCTAATAGCCTGTAATGCCAGAATTCAGAAGTAGTTCCATTTTCGAACAATTTGATTGTTAATTGTTGTAAAATAAATGTATACTAATGAAATGCAAAAGAACCACCTTATTTTTTTTTGCAGCAGAACAAGTAATTGCAAATTTTGATGGTTGTTTTGCATTTCACAAGTACAATAATTGTATTGCAATGCAACGTAATTACACACATTATATAAAATAGTAAGTGTAAGTTTAGACTTACAACAGGACTGTCACAAGGACCAGGCAGTGTTGTTCCGTTTGGTCCCTATCAAATTACCAATATCGTTGTCAATATTTGAATAATGACATTAATTTCACTCAATTTTGATCAAATTAACAAAAATCATGAGTAATTTATGAAACATTAACCCTTTCCCTAATTAATATGACATTATTAAAAGTATAAATATCTTGAAAACAATGACAAACAAAGCATTTCCACTTTATGTAACGGAATTTAAATACTTATTTTGATAAATGTTTACCGGTTCAATTAACTTATCAGATGCACATAACAAGGATCGAAAATCTTTCCGGTAATTCTGTCGAAAATCTCTGAAAACCCACATTTTCCACCAATATTTCATCAACGAGAATTTCCGTCCAAAAACAATGGATTTTCAACGGAAATTTCCATCTAAAATACTCCTATGTTTGTAGTGTTAATTAATTAACAATTCGTATCACTAATCTAACGAAAAATAGGTTGATATAATATGACTGTTCATCAGATGACAGATAATAAAAAGTTTTAAGAACATAATTAAAAAATTAATTATGAAAATAGAAAGATTAAAATAATCTTACTTTGTGAGGTTTGCATGGAAGATCCCACCACTTTTCTCCTCTTCCATCAATAACTCCACCACCTTGTAGAGATATCCCATTCACCCTATAAAACACCAGCCACTGTCTCATGCTCATGCCTTTTGGCCACAATCTTGGTCCATCTGGTGCCATAATTGTCCCTTCAATCTTCACAAAAACAATCATCCAAAAACCATTATCAACTGGAGATCCATCATGGATTCAAGAAAACCGAACATGCGAGTAATCTTCCCATTATATATTACCTGAAACACAAGGCTGTTTCTGCAACTTCCTGTGAAAATGGAGGACTGTATCAAGAAAGTATAATGCTTGGGAACCAGAAGGACCGTTGGTTCGTTGTTTTGACAGGCCGAATCCCACGCCATTTTGAACCCTTGTGTATCATCTGTCACACCATCGCCTACAGACCCGAACGACATCACATTAAAAAGCCTTGGAGGACTGGATTGGATCTTGGGCATAATAGCCGGCTGCGGTGCAGGAGAAGGTGCTAGTGAAATGTGGTCTAACGGTTGAGGGTTAACAGAACTGAAATGAGTGCAAAAACTCAAGAAAGAGAAGAGAAAAGTGAAGAAAGATAGTCCCATGGTGAGCTATAGCTAGAAGAAGAGGCTGGTTTAGGGCTTTATAGGACAGAAAAAGCAAATGTAGACAAAAGGAATCACACTTGTCTGAAACTAACCCTTATCACTATCCTAGAAAACCATGAAATTTTCAAAGAAAATGGCTCACTTGTAAGGGTTAATGACAAAAGAGGGAAGGCACCCACGTTTTTAGGAAGTTGAAAGAAGGTTTGGTTGATGGCTAATTAAGACTTTTGTTGCAGTGGGTGTGACCACAAACGGCACTAGGTAACTTAGAAGCAGGAAGACACAAGTTGCAGACTAGTTGAAGAAGGGAATGTCGTAGGGAAGATAGGGTGGTTTGTTCTCTTTATATATACGTGGGGAAACTCTAATTAAGTGGGAATTAATATGTGGCTTAAAACTAGTATTTTCTCAACCTTAATTAAGGGCTGACAAGACCATCCATTTCTCTCATTTGTACCTCATTTATGTACGAATTAATTAAATGATGCATGTTTTATATAAAGCAATCAGATTGATCGGGGATAACTTCATCAAATATTTGTTTAATTGTTTGTGGGAAGTGGAGGTTTTTAATATTTAAAACCCACCAAAAACCCCACAAGGAGTATGGAATTTCTGGTTTGGACGGTGGAGTGTGCATATGAGGATTCAGGAACAAAGAAAAAGAGGGGTTGAGTGGAAGTGATGTCAGAGGACAACAAATGCCGGCAAATGTTTTTCTTTCATTGTTAACTTCGGCCATTCATTCATTTATTCACACTCTCTCTCTCTCTCTCTCTCTCTCTCTCTCTCTCTCTCTCTCCCCGGTAGATTCCAATCATAACCATAAATGTATATTTTAAGAATATAAAAAATTAATATGATAACCAATTTTTTATATTTTACTATGGAAAACACTGATAAAATGGTGAGGAACCTTAACTGTAACGCCACAATTTTTACCATGAGAAATGTTACGTAATTTAAAATAGATTTTTCAAAAGCACTCCAAAAATAATGGTTAAATTAAAACTTTAGACCGTTTACAGCGAAAAACTTTAAAAGGATAAATATATAACTCAAAATCAGTCTGTCTCATACCGGGTTGCTTTACAAATTTATCTATCATAGATGATTGCACCTAAATATTGAACTTAAATGGACTAGACAAGTCTCTATAGATGCCCTTCTTTTTCTTCGTTCAACCTGAAACCTTCTGTCCCTGAGATGCATATTATAGTCAACTTATAAAGCTCAGTAAGTTCATAGTTTACGTGAGCAAAGATCATTTCACATCATACATATCGATCAACTTGTAAACTTTGAACCAAATAGTATGCATTTTCTGAAAAACATGCAACACTGAAAGAAAAGAGATCTCATAAATGTTCTGTCGGGTATGAGTCATTTAGTCACTGGCATTCCCTGAGTTGTCCGACCGGGGTTGTGCCAGTTGTCATGTGACTTACTTGGTCAAATGTTCACCCGCTAAAATTAATTCAGAAAACTTTCATATGAAATAACATGCTATAGTTAATTGAAAACAAAATAAATACATAGCAGACAACTGGTCATAAAATAACATATATGTAAAATATATCATGTATGTAAACTGAAACATCATGCATATGTACATATTACCATATAAATCATATAATGCTCGAAAATAAATTTATACATAGGTATGCATCCCATTGTAAGTCTCATGAAGATTCATCCGATTGCGTATAGATTGGCTACCGATAGCTCTTGACCAAATGCATACACATTTCATACCATAATATCTCATTAATGTCTTAATTTCTCAAAAACTCAACAAAAGTCAACTATTGTCATTCTGACCCAATCTAAAGTCAAACTTCGTATCCGAGCATCTTAATATGCCTCAAATAACTCTATGTGACCCATCATTAAAATCCACATGGGTCAAACATGTCAAAAGTCAACCCTTGGTCAACTCGGTCAACCCCAACTAACTTTAGTCAAACCCCATGACTAAAACTCGACAACGGCTTAAAACATCAAAATAAACATTTTATGATCTTATAAATCAAACTCTCTAATTTAAAGTGTCTCTATAATTGATTAACTCTGAAATACGACACTTTAATCTCAATATTAAATTATCAAAATAATTTAAGAAACCTCTCAGTACTATGTCTGATACCAACTCTTAACGTCGATTTATCCTTTTAACAACWAAATAAAACCTATGTTTCATATTAAGATGTCTTAGACAACTGATAAAATCAAATTCCGACAACTAAGAGAACATTTATTAAATTACTAATCAATTTAATAAACCACTTAGGAAAAAATTAATTAATCACACCAAAGATCATTTGGCCTAGCGGTATGTGAGTCCTTAGCCTTTTAAGAGGTCAAGGGTTCAAACCTCACCAAAGGTAAGGAGGGTGTGTGAGTTTATTTGTTTTACTTGCCGTATATAAATATTATATACTTCAAAAAAAAGATTAATTAATCACTATTAATTCTCTAAAATAAATTAATATGTTAATTAAATAACATACTATTTTTCTTATATTAAATTAATTAAACAATGTAACGTATACAATATAATAAAATGGAATAGTATATTAATTGGTTAGATTTGACATGGTTAAATTAATTACCCAAATACATCCACAATGTTACATGGACTAAATCTTATGTCCAAAAGATGAAACAACCCACAATACAAGTAAAGCTCAAAAAAACGGCCCAGATGCCTCCTACAATCCCCCAACAGCACCGGCGACCGGAAAAACTGCCCATTGCCCTCGTTTCTTCATCGGTTTCGATGATTCTTTTTGCAAAATCTCTAGAAAATGATTTTCCTCAATCATAGGAAAAAAAATCAACGAAAGCCATCAAGTATTGAGTCTCATACGCTCGTTTAAAGTTAAGGTCTTAAAACCACTCGAAAATCAGTTAAAAACTCAAAATAGAACATTCAAAACTCAAATCTGAGACATAAGACGACTAAGATTTCATAGAGAACCTAAAAACGAAGCCAACCATATAAAGAACTCGAAATTTGGTTGAGTATTTTACCTCCAATCGTCAATAAACGGAGCTTTTCAAACTCGAACTTCAACCTCCGATTTCTCTTTCGAAACCCAATGAAACCTCGGTTTTCTTGAAGCAAAAGTGTAGAGAAAAGTGTTGGCTACATGTAGGGCTGTGCGTCGGTTAGGTCGGGTTGGATCAGACCCAAAAATGGCTAACCCGATCGGGTTTCGGGGTACAAATCCATAACCCGAATCATAGTGTTCGGGGTTCGGGTCATATTGGGTACATGCTGTTTCGGGTCGGGTTCGGGTGATATCGGGTACGAAAAACAGCAATAGTACAAACAGCAATCCCACTCGGTAGAGCGGTTGTTTTCGTGAAGACACCCGGCTAGTGAGAATTGTGTGAAAGTGAAAACAACAGATTCTGTAAGAACACGACTATAAATTTATATGAAGCAATATATATATATACATAGAGGAGTGATCAAATAAAAACCGCCCTCATTTGTGTAAACCGTGCAAACTACCTTCATCCGTCGATTTCATTGTTTAATCTTATGAAAATTTTTCATGAAATTGTTTAATCTTGTGAAATTGTTTCATATAATACTTTTTTTGATCAAGTTGTTTCATATATGGTTGTGAAATTGTTTCATATAATACTTTTTTTGATCAAGTTGTTTCATATATGGTTGTGAAATTGTTTCATATAATACTTAATGAATCTGTTTCATGTATTTCTCTAAAATTAATGAAACTGTTTCATGTATTTCTATAAAAATTAAAATAATGAAGATGATAATATCTATGATTAACACCCTCCACAATAAAAATGATTAATCAACCTATCATAATTACAAAAAAATGAACAAAATGAAAAATTATGATTGGTTGAATGAGGTTTGCACAGTTTGTACAAATTAAGTGGTTTGCATTTGATCGCTCCCCTATATATATATATATATATATATATATATATACACACATATATGTATATATATTTGGGACTTTTTGTTGTGGGTTGGCATTTCAGAATTTAACAAAGAAAAGGTGCACTCACCCGTCGGTAGCTGGTCGGGGTCGGAGTCGATCACCACTACCAGTCGGCAGTCTGTAGTTTACTAGTTCGGGCATGGCCGTATGGGGTATTCGTAGTTTAGCCTAGCCGTATTCTCTTTTCTTGTCAATTTTCACCTAACCCTAAGTCCCTAACATAAGTCGCTTATTTTGGGTAGTTCGGGTTTCAGGCGGGTTCGGGGGTGGATCGTGAGATCCTACCCGATCCGCCATACCCGAGTTAAATTTCGGATTCATATATCGGGTTTCTTTGGGCAATTTCTTTCGGTTCGGGTTGGGTTTTTTCGGGCGGGTAAGTCGGCTAATTCGGGTAGGGTCGGGTTTTGCACAGCCCTAGCTACATGTATCTGGTTTTTTTTGTCTTAATAGTTGAAGATTCGAACAAATAAGAGGCTTCAAAGGAGTGGTCGTTTTCACGTTTCTCAATTTTGCAGATTTGATATATTTACAAAGCAGGTCCTTCTGGTTTGGACCTGTTAACATCTGACCCAACCCTTAACTATTATAAAAATGCATTCGGCCCCCTAGCTCTATTACTTTTGACATCTTTACACAATTCACCCCTAATATGACATTTTCCTTCATTTTTAATCCAATTTTCAAATATGTTTATTTTTTTTCCAATGAAATAAAACTCATTTTATTTTATTTTATTTTTCTTGTTCTTTTTGCTTTCTAATTTATTTATTTACCTCATTTTGGGGTGTCACAAATCTCCCCTCCTTTAAGAAACTATGTCCTCAGAATTGTACCGGCTAAGCTGATGGGAATTCTTAGTTCTTATCTATTATTTTTTTATTACCATGACATTTGAACTATAAAAGTTCCAATTCATTTAATATCATTACTAGTTCCAAAGATGTAGTCTTGTCCTTCGATCTTTTCGTTTCCTGACCAATACTTCAATAGTATCTTCTACATAATTGAGTTTGTTGATGACCTCGACACTTTGCCAAAACTTATAACAAGTGACTTATCAGCTAAAACTTCCTCGAATTCGACACAAAAATCTCGATTGATCACTTTGTAACTATGTTGGCCAACTTGGTTGATTACTTCTATGAGTTCTTACACTAACTATTTTGTCCAAAATACTTTGGACCTTATTTACTTTTTACCATAATACGATCATGCCCTCCTAAAGTGATGTCTTTAACATCCATATGTCCCTGATTTGAACTCTCCCATTAGCATAACTTTACA